GCTGGGCCACTTTCTTGATATGAAAGATATGTCTCTTTGTGATATGCACATGAGGGTCACTGGTTCTGTTTTTCTATAAAACTTAGCCGAATACAGCTGGTGTCAAGACTCACCAATCTTCTCTGTTGTACCGCTTCTCTATTTGACTTGACGGTGGATCTCCCATTGAGTGGAATACTTCCTCGAGAAACGATTCAAACTACGACAGTGGCTGTTCTAAATGTGAAGCCCTTAAACACGTGTGAATGGCTGTTTCTTGCCTCCACATGTGAAGTCATCAGCCTCTTCACCCCTGAAACATCTAGGGAAATGCTTCACTTACTTCTGGAATTTAGTGCCCCAAATAATTAGTCTGAGCATGGATTGATTTTGGACTCTTGTAGGTAACCTTCTATGCTTGACTTCTAGTAGATTTCTCCTCCACTTCATCCTTTTAAAGAGCCCCGGTAGAACAGTGTTTAAAGTGCTTGGCTGCTGACCAAAAGGTTACCAGTTTGAACCCAAGAGTTTCTCTGTGGGAGGAAGACGGGGCAGTCTGTTTCCTGAAGGAATATGGAACCTTGTGAGGGCAGGCACGTTCTGCCTGATAGGCGCATTAGAAGTCAAACTAGACTTAACTGCAGTGAAGTATCTATATATCTATATCTATATCATCTATATCTATATCATCTGTATCTGTATCTATATATATCTATCTCTATATCTATATCTATACATATCCTTATGATTTAAAGTCATGTTCAGACTGTTTCGATTTCCCCTGGACTAGGGTCAGCAAGCTCTTTCATGCTGTGTTGTTTGTTTTCAGTTTCCATCAAGCCAGCTCCGACTCATAAAACCTTATGAAGATCATACATGAAACATGGCCCGGCCCGGCACCAGTCCATGATTACTGGTAGGCCCGGGCTCATTGACGTGGCTACGGTGTGAATCCATCCCTTTGAGGGCCTCCCGTGTTTTGACTGACCTTTGCCAAACATGATGCCTTTATTAGAAATTGGTCTTTTCAGCTAGAGCATCCAAAGTAAGCTAGCGTTGAAGGAGAATCTAAGGAGCATTCCCATCATGCCCCTAAGAATGTTCCACGTTCTTTCTTCTGGCAGGCCCTGGGTCGTCAGTCCTGGTACCCCACCGCCACTCACACACATCGATTCGTCTTCTGCCTGCCTTTTTCGTTGTCCGGTTTCCACATTCAGATGAGGCAACTACAAAGCTCATGGCTTTTTCTTTATACACATAGCTTATGGTACATACTCTGGTTTTAGAGAACGTTTATGATTTCTGTTCCAGTCACTTAGTTCTCCTTTCCTAAGTGCTTTATTGACTCCTTGGTCCTGTATCATTTTCAACCATTTTCTCTGTTGTCATTTGCCAGTCTCTCCGGTTTGGCTTCTTCCCATTGAGCTTGTCAGCTGGGTCCTCCACATCCCTGACCTGGCTTTCGGCAGGGCTGCTGCCGATTCACATGCCGATTTCTACCTTTACATGGCATTTCTTTCCCACCCTTTTTTCCCTGACCTAGCTCCCCTTGTAAATACAACATTTAATTGGAAAGGATCACAAATGTAGAGAAAAGCTGGGAGCGGAGCGGGAAGACCTTTGTCTTTCAAGGACTCATTTTGGAGTAAATGGTCAAGGTGTTGCCTCCTAACCCTGGGGCGTTTTATCACGTGCTCCCCTCAAATCAGCCCATTCTCCCGCGCGAAACACCACGTGACCCTGAAATCAGAAAACGAATACTGACACTGGCGGGCTTCAAATGTTCATGACAAAAAAAAATGGAATGAAAAGATAATGGGATTTCCCCACGAACTTTTGGAACCCCTTCATTCAGTACTGCCTGGGAATGGTCACATTTCGTTAAGTTGCATCACCTGTCACCACAAAGTCCTCCCTAGGATGCGGCTCAGAGTCACATGTTACACTTCGTTGTCATGTCTCCCTCAGCTCCTCTAGTCTGGGCAGGTCCTCAGGCGTCTTCCCTTGACCGTCAGACCTCTCATCCTTTTGAAGGTTACAGGCCAGCTATTTCTTTCTTTCTTCCTTTTTATCATCTTATTGGGGGTTCCTATAGCTCTTATCACAACCCATACATACATCAGGCCACAGAGGTTGAAGGGGACCTCCCTACAATCAAGAGGAGCCTGGAGCAGATCAGGTCCTTTGGGCCTGGGGTTCTTGAGCTGAGAACGTTTTAGACACAAGAGACAAAGATAGAGGTGCTATTTAAGCTGCGTGAAGCGGGGCCACATCTGACCTCCTCTGGCTTCCCGATGGCTGTAAGGCAGGTGCCAGACATGCTTCCACCTTCCATCTTCCTTTGCTGATTCTAACATCAATTATTCCTCCCACAACACTCTTCTTTTTGTTGAGTTTGATAATTCGTTGCAGTGACCACTCAGAACTCACAGCGACAAGACTCACAACGATAGGGGTTTATTAAGAAAGTTGACAGGCTACCACCAGTCAGGCTCAGCAAGCAGAAGGATGCAGTCACTGGCAGTGCGTCTCCCCAGCCAGCTGCCAAGTCTCTCTCGTCACCAGCCTCTCCCTCCATGGACCAAGAAGCTGGCCCACCGCTCTGCCTCACAGCATTGGTGCTGCTCCTGTGCTCCGTCTCCTGGCCTCTTTGCCTCTGCCCTGGGCCTGGCTCCTTTGCTTTGTCCCATGGTCTTCTGAAGACGGCCTCTGGTGCCTTTGGCGAAAGCTTCAGACGGAGGTCTCAAACAGGCTCCACGGTGGTCCTTCTTCCACTGGCCGGGGCATTCTCTGTGCGCCTGCTTTGGAGGTGGCTCTTGTTCACAGAGCAACGGCTTTGAGGTAGGTGTGCTCTTTGTCGTTCAGCAGACCATACCCCAAGGAAACACAAGGAGGTGGCCTGGCTCATCCCCTTTACTATGGCGGAGATGAAATCCCACCTTCATCCCGGTCCTGACCATAGCAGAGAACTTCCTCCAAATGGGATTATAGCCAAAGGCACAGAGGCCGGACTTTATAATAAGTCACATAGGGGATTTTGACTAGAAGGGCCATCCTAGCTGGCAACAGCTCAGGTGGAGAAAGAGACAGAAAGCGAAAAGCGAAACTTCTACAGTAGGTGCATGGACCAGGAGCTTGAACACTGAAGACGGCGAGAAGCAGTGGCAACCGCCGCACATACCAGCAGCAGAATCCGAACAGTGGGAAGCAGGCGACCAGTGCAAGGTGGTTGCTGCCGTGGATGCGCTCGCCCACAGTCAGAGACAGCTAGCTGAGTGCCTTCGGGCAGGAAGCTCCTTGGCAGAGTGAGGTATCTCTGGGTACTTCTTGGAGGCACTAAAGAGCTGTAACCTTGCCTGAGCATGGCAGAGGCCAAGAGAAGTCCCGTGGCTAGCAGAGCAAAGAAGGACGACCCGCCTGTGGGCATGGACGAGAAGATGCTGAGGGCTCTCCTGGTTGGAAGCTGTCCGGATCGAAGAAGTATCTCCTGATTGTAGCATGTTCCTTCTCCTTTCTCCACAAGGGGCTCAGTTATATCCCGGGGGAGTTTGGAATTAAAAACTGAGCATACTGGGCTCTACGGGAAAAGATGCTTTGCAGGAACTGGGGTCTGGCCATTCTTCCAGCCTTGTGGCCAGTTTTGTACGGGTGGACTCTGATCTTGAATGGGAGGCCTCTGATTCAAGAACAGTAAGTTTGGCTTAGCAGACCTACTTTGTCATCTACCCAAGGCATAGCCTCTACTATAGTTTTTCAACAGGAATAAAGTTGTTGTGTTGTTTCTCATCCGTCTGATTCCTAGGTCTAGCTTTCAATTGGTTCTGAGCTAGGAAAGGAAAAATAAAACTGTTTACGGGGACCCTCAGACCCCAACATCCAGCCTCATGGCCTGCACACTCATTGTCATGTCTGTTGTTGTTGTTGTTGTTGTTAGGCGCTATTGAGTCAGTTCCTACCCACAGTCATGTATACACACCTCTAAGGAAACAGAAGCGCAGTCATGAGGGCGGAGACGTGGCCACACATGACAGTGGAGTAACCGCACCTGGGCTTCTAAAGGCACCTGCAGGGTGAGAGCCACACCGAGTCAACACTGTTGTCGTTCGTTGCTGCTGAGCTGGCTCCCCTTGTGGAGACTTTATGAATAGCAGAGCAAAACACTGGCCAGCTCTGTGCTGCCCTCAAGATCCCTGACATGCACGAACTCTTTGCGGTGCCAATCCAGCTCGTGGAGGGTTCCCCTTGTTCTTGTTGATCCCCTACTTCACCCATGTGGGTGACCTTCTTTCGTGATTGGTCTTTCCTGATGATAGACCCAAAGTAATCAAGAGAAAGTCTTGCCACCCCTTCTTAATATGAACATTCCAGTTGTGTATGTCATCCAAGAGGCTTACACCCTGGGCACAGCACGCAGAGAACTGTCTATGAATGTTGTGATTGCGTGTCCACCATAACAAACACGAGGAAACGCTATCCAGACCTATAACCCCAGATTCTTAGCAAACAGGCTGTTGATCAGGCCAAACCTAACTTGAACAACTGTGCTCTGCCTCCTACTCGAAATTTCCAAGCCCTCTCTTGTACACAAGAAGCTAGTCTTCCTTGTAAGGTCAGTAGTTAGGTCCAGAGTCCCTTGGAGTGGGGGCGCCCTAGAAGGTGCTAAGAGTCAAGCTGGGCAAAGGTAATTATTAGCAACTCCACCAGCGAACTGATTTGAACAAGCAGGATGACTATCCTCACCCTGGTGCCTCTGAGCTTGGACTTGGCATCACGTATTCATCTGGCGTGGCTTTCTTCCCGGGTCATACAGAAGCAGAAAAACTTAGCCTTATGGAGCCGTGTGCTGGGAGCTTTCACATACACTCAGGCATTTCATTCTCATGCGTCTGAGGAGACTGAATCCCACAGAGGTGTGACAGCTCATTCAAAGTCACATCCTAATGAATGATAGGGCCATCCGGCTAGCCCAGGCCTGACTTGAGAGCCTGGCCCTGCCCACCAAACCAAGCTTCCATACTGACCAGAGAAGGCTATGGCGAAGATGCCCCCCATGGCTGCGGCGTGGTGGAACTTGAGCAGGACCTGGTTGGATGAGCTGTATACTGTTTTCTTGGCCAGGCTCCGGGTGAAGACTCCAAGCGGTGGAGCTGTCTGCTCTGGCCCGTCCCTGTGCGTGGGAAAGAAGATCCTGCTCAGTTACAAGTCCTCCTGGATGTCTCTTCCCCCAGTGACGCCGTCCACCTGGTTTAGGTGGCTGTGACCCTTCCGGCACAGCCAACACTGCCTTCCCAGAGTCCTAACACCACCCTCTAATCTCTCCCCATCCTCTCTGTTAGAGCTGACAGAATACGTGAAGCTTGCACCCATTCTCCGTTCGCCTGATTCTTCACCTACCCAGCCTGGTCTTAATGTCATTCAGCACTGGGAGTCTAGGGAAGGACGTCCCGCGATCTCCTGCTCATTCCTAAAGTGGCAGTACCATCCCCCCAAAGGAATTTCAAAATTTTATTTTTGTCCAAAGATCCAGTGGCTTGGGAAAAACTGTGTAGGAAAATGCACTTATCAATTAATAATGTATTATATTCCCCTTTTAAAATGAACTCAATCTTTTTTGGTAACTCGGAGCTGAGCTGTCCAATTTAGTAGCCATAGTCACCGGGAGCTATTTACATTTAAATTAGTTAAAATTCAGTAACATTTAAAATAAGCTTCTGTCACTCCAGTCCCATTCAAGTGTTTGAAAGCCGCCTGTGGCTGGTGGCCACCACACTGGACAGCACAGGGAGGAAACCTTTTCACCATTGTAGAAAGTACTGTTGGGCAGCGCTGACATAGAGCTTTGCATCCCATGAGATGACCAGTGGGTCATTACCAAGCTCTACCCGAAATGGGTAGCTAAGCCAGGTTAAACATAGAGTTTTAGTTTAAAACCAAACCCACTGATGTCGAGTTGATGCTGACTCAGAGCAATTCTTTAGGACACAGCAGAACTGCCCATTTGATCTCCCAAGGGTGTAAATCTTCAAGGGAGCAGACAGCCTCATCCTTCTTCCAAGGAGTGGCTGGTAGACTTGACCTTGAGGTTAGCAGCCCAATGGATATCCCACTATGTCAGCAGAGTTCCTGAATTTTCATTGAGACTCTGGAAATGCCAAGGTTGGTCTTCATATCTGGCCCTCCTCCCGTCACAGGCTGCTAGCACTTTCGGTGAGCTCCAACAGGACCCAGACCCCTGGCCACTATGATCTCATTTTAAGGAGTGACGCGGATCATCCACCAGATCTTTTAGACAACCAAGAGGTGGACAGTCATTTTAGAACCATTGAGCTCTTAGTTTATTGAACAAATTGATGGATAATTCCGTTCAGAACCCAACTAATGCTCCTTTCAGATTGGCTCTTGACCTGGCACCCAGTCCTACCAGATGGTGATGAAGTCCCCGGAAGGCTCTGTCTGCAGAAGGCTGAGGTTGAGGTGGATGCCATGACCGATGGACACGGTGATCAGCCAGACACAGTCCTGGGAGCTGGTGTATGGACTGGGGAACCCCGGGGAGTACACAGTGCCATTGGAAGAGGTGATGTCCCCGCCACAGGGGACTGCCAGAGAAGGAACAGAAAAACACAGATGAATGCTGGAGGTCACCCAAGGATTCAGCCGACTTCTCAATGAAGTCCCCTAGCCCAGCACAAGGCATGCAGCTCACAGGGGTGGGGGGAGATAAGGGAATGGAGAGCAGGTTGAGGATGGCTGCGTCTGGCTCTGTCCACCAGTCCCAACGTCCCATCTGGCTTGTTGGTGTTCAATGCAGTCATCTCTATGGGTCTGCCTCAACCCCCAACCCCTCCCCCGCCTCTTTCCTTCTAATGGAAGAGACCTGCAATAACCAGGGGACACTGGTGCCATCTCCCTCTTTCCTAAGAAGGCAGTGCGGATTAAGGCAGGGCAAGAGCTGCAGTACTTTGAGAACTAAGCAATTATGAAACTATCGCTTCCACTACTCCTTTCTTTTTAAAATATGCTTTCTAAAAGTTAATCATTTTATTGGGGCGCTCTTACACATCTTATAGCAAGCTATCATTCAATTGTATTAAGCACACTGTATTTATGTTGCCATCCGCATTTCCAAAACATTTTCTTTCTACTTG